GTCGGGGTATCGTAGGTAAGTTCTTCAAGTACGGAACACTACTAATTATGAGAAAACTAATAAAATGCTGTATTATTATGACAAAGTAGATTCTATAATTATGTTGTTGTCGTATTATCTAAATATGATAATCATGAATAATTATCATAATCATGAATCTCGATGGAAAGGTTGTAATAGTGACGGGCGCAAGCTCAGGCATCGGTGCGAAAGCAGCAGAGTTTTTCTGCAGGGAAGGTGCTAAAGCAGCGCTCGTGGCCAGAAATGAAACCAAATTAAAGAGTGTCTCTGAGAAGTGCAAAGATGTCTCTGACGACGATGATACTAAAAAAATTATTGAAACTACAATAAAGAGTTTGGGAAGATCGAAATGTATCTCTTCATTCAATTTTGCAACTGACGTGCTTAGCAGCGCCACATCTAGTCAAGACAAACGGAAACATAGTGAACATTTCTAGTGTAACATCACTTGCCTGCTTTATGAATACTTTTGGACCGTATGGTTTATTGAAAGCGGCTGTAAATCATTTCTCCAAAACGGCTGCAACAGAGTTGGGACCGCAAGGAGTGCGTGTTAATGTTATATCCCCCGGTCCAGTTTATACTGACATTATAGAGAATAGTAGAGCACCTTTTACTTTCGATGACTTGAAGGATGAAACTTTACTAAAAAGGACTTGTGAACCCGACGAAATCGCCGACCTTATATTAAGCAAGTGATAAAGCTAGTGGTATTACAGGGTCAATTTATGTAATCGATAATGGAGTGCAATTGAAATAATTAAAAACTTTTAGATATGAGACTTAGATTTAGTTTAGATATACTGACATGATATAATTAAGTTCTTGAATGGTAAGATTGAAAATTCTTTTATGACTAAAATTATACTAAATATATGTACTGAAGTATGCCATGTAAATATGGCATACTTCAGTACATATATTTAGTTAGTACATATACAGTACAGTACATATAATAGCATTACGAGTTGAACATTTAATAAAATCAATCAAAATACAAATCTATTAAAGAAATTATTATTTAAAGACATTATAATTATGTTTATTTTTTTTGAGTTGAAATATGTGATGTGTGTATCTTTTGGAGAAAAAATCTTTTATCTATCTATCTACATAGATAACGGAAATATTCTGAAACTTCGAGCTTTTTACTCCCCATCCCTATAAATTGGAGGATGGAATTTTATATGCGACTTCCACAAATTTTGATGAGAGAGGTCTGTAAACTAAGATAGGCAGCCAGTTGCACAAACGTTCAATAAAATTTCCATTAGTTTAAAATGACATTATCCATACTTTTTGGAATTCATTATAGCTTAAAGGCGTTATTGAACCACGATGAACGTTTGTGCAACCGACCGAGAGACACTATTTAACAAAAATACTTATTTCAAGAATATTAATAAAATACCTGTTATGTAGGTAGATCAATAAGAATCCCGAATGACGGGTATGTTTGTTACCGACTCGACTCCTTTGTCTCGCAATACAACTGATAACGAATAGACGCTTTTTATTTCGTTCCTCCAGTATATAGTAATACCTAACTTCAAATAAGGGAAATTATACAAGTGCACATATATCTTATTACAATTTAAAATTTTCTTGATTTTGAAAATAAAATCATCCCTCAACCCCTTCAATTAGAGGATAAAAGTGTATATGGGTTGGATACTGCCCCAAAAAGAAAATTTGAATTATTTATTATTGGTATGCGGCGCATGTCTCGCGACATGTTACCGCATACCGCACACCGCACACTAAAGATAGTGCCAAACAGTACAATTTGAAATTATAAAATATATTTTTACAAAAATAAGCAAAACCACACGCGATATACAAATAATGCAGCGCTATTTAGTAGACAAACAAGTACTTAATTATTCACTTTTAACAGGCGTTTATATCGGCTTTCATAGTGTTTATATGGATAATAGACTGGCCTGCTATATAATTAGAAATCTTTTTATAAAATTTTAACCAAACAGAAGAAATTCAGTGTGCATAATTGTTTCGCATACATCTGAAACTGACTGTGATGGTAAGCTGGTCCAAATGCCTTTCCCTTTGGACTAATGTTATAATGTTAAGCTCCAAATTTCTAAGTTAAGACGCAGGCAGCTGTGCCTCGGTTTGGCGTAGCTCTCAACTTTCACAAGTGCTTGTAATAGCCTAGACTGAATAAATAATTCTGGTTTTGATTTGATTTTGATGTGATCACAGTGGGCGTCACTCGCTACATATCGGTAACCTCATGCGCCAGGTTTAGATATTTTAGTTTTTTATCTGATTCGGCTTTATCAAGTGTAACGCTTAGAAAAAAGAATTTGTTATTGGTGGGTTTAGGACCCGTAAGAGCGTTAACATATGATGGGTAATAAAACAAGTAAATTTTTATAATAAACGTTTACTACCTAAAAAGTAAAGAGACATGAAATCTGTGGGTTAGGGTTCAACGGGAAGCTCGCAACGTGGAACAGTATATAAGATAGGTACAATTTTATATGGCCCTAGTCAACCGTTCGCAACAGCTAGGTCTCTTTCATCCACTGTCCTGGTAGTGTTTCGGCTAAATGTATGGCCGAAGAGGTCCAGTGGTGTAGATGTTAGGGCCAGAAGATGGGTCCAGCCCAGCGCTTCAGCACGATGACTGGCTTCATCGTGCTTTCAGCACCCTGATGTTAGGTGCAATCGATGATCATGAAGCTTCTCAGGGGCGGGAAGGAATCCTAAATGAAATTTAAAAAAATGTCACGGCCATCAGGTTAGCTGCGACATCACTGGTCTTCAGGCAGTGCGATTTCAATGGGACATAATATTTAGAATAATTTGTAAGGTATTCAATGGGACTGAAATTACATGATTCAATATAAAATTAGACTTAATAAAAACAACTAAATTGATTAGAAATTATGCAACACATACCCAATACGGGGATATCACTTCGAATACATTAATTATTATACTTTAAAAAAACATAATTATTTATACGACTACAGCGGCCTCGAAAGAAAAATCTCAATATTAAAGGACTACATATTGATGTTACGCTGCCTTCGGTTGAAATATATCACAAGGAGCGCGTCCACGGGTTTTGTACCTTCCATAAAACTGGATTGCGCCTGCGACGCGGAAAACAATAGCTTCGAGCAAGACATGTTGTCAAGCCCGTCGCAGTTTATCTATATAGAAAATTATTGGTTTGTCAATCTTCGAACATATAAACAATATAAAAATAATTGTATACGTTTAATGAAACATAAAACGTTACAGAAGGTTTTCGTCAGTGACGTCCACTGAGAACACACGTGACTTCGCTAGGTACATCAACACAATATCAGGCTTGTTGGCAGGTACTGAACTGTCTGTAATGATTAACCGAGTACCAGTATTTTGGCTGCTTGGTTATGTATGTGCAAATATTCGGTATTGGCCAGTACAGGACATCCGAAAGTTATATGCCGAAGTGATTCTCCTAGTTGATGACAGGCTCTACATGTTCTTTATCCCGTCTCTCAAGATATACCTCCAGTGGTTATGGGTTATTATAACCTGGTCTTGTATTCTATAACAAACACCTCGGTTTCCCCAAAGAGGTTTCCAAAACGTAGTTAATCCACAGAGGTTTTGGCGTCCACCTGACGCTCGAGTAGTGCCTTGTAGGATCTCCCATGCAACTCCCTTTACTTCCAAACGGCTGGTCGGTCACTAGTACTAAGGATAGTCAGTTCTCGCCATTGCTCGGTGGTGGGAAGTAATCACGAAGGCTTCATATCTCTCAGTTATGCATGGCCTTGGCATTCAGCATGCCGCGACCTTAACTCTTACGCGTGGAGGTCGCCACGATGATTTCGGGTTGTGTTCTATGTTTGTGTCTTCCCAGATATTGTTCCTATAGTTACTGACTTCTTCTATGATGGTGCTTCTTTTAATGTGATTTCCTCTTGATTTAATTTCCTGTAGAATAGTTTTTGGTTATTACTATAGTTTCAGTAAGACTGTCTTCTTTCGTTATATTTTTTGTAACGTTTGATCGACTTAAATCGACCGTGGACCGCTGACTGTTTACACGGTCACTGACGATTCGCATGTGACGTGACAGACATCTAGCGTCAGCTCCAGATGTGCCCCAGCGATCATCCCCGGGTAGCGGACAAATTATTTCTTGACATTTACTCCATATAATTACCTTACCAATGGCTTTCGTTGTCATCTTCATCGTCGTCGTCGGCGTCATCATCGTCGTTATCATAATCGTTATAATAATCATTATTATTATTAGACGATCAGACGCAAAGTCTTTGAGGATAAAATCACGACGATGAGGAATACATATATGGGAAAAAGGGCTATGACAGATAGGTAGTAGCGATAGGAGTTTGAAAAGAAAGGGCTTAAAGTCAAGGAAATAATAAAATAATTAAAATATATACAAACTAAAATACGCAGCTTACTTACATGACAACAGACAACAAAAGACAAAATAATAAAGGAGAATAAAATGTCAACAAAAAATATACTTTTAAAAATATCTCACCGGCATGCTGGCCAGTTCATAACAAGGGCAATAGGTCTAGAAAACTATTTCATATCTGGCAAGGTGTTAAATTGATACATCATTATACTCAAAAGCACGTGATAATGAGAATTAAATAAACAATTTACAAGGAATACATGATGTGGATCGTCAGAACCAAAGTACCAACTTAAAGAAATAGTTATTTCATTATTTGAATACTGTTTTAGTCTAGTAAAAAATAAATAAGAAGGCTAAATACCTATAATAGACTTTATAGATAATATTTAACTGTAGTAGTCGAACCACTATTGGTTATATGTATAATAATATAAGCTATGACCCCGTTTAACTGTACAATCTTGATAGGATTGCAATTTATGCGCTTGTATAAATAGCGATTGTTATAAATATTTCTGCATTGTGACATCGCGCCACATTTACTATAATCATTGTAAAAATTATGAATTTAAAAGGAAAAGTAGTGATAGTGTCAGGTGCGGGCTCCGGCATTGGTGCAAAAACAGCGGAGTTTTTCTCTCGTGCAAATGCTAACACTGTGCTTGTGGACATGAACGAGGCCAAAATGAAGAACGTTTCGGAGAAATGCAAAGCGTTCGGTGCGGAGCTCATCGTAATTAAAGCTGACGTCTCCAATAACGAGGACGCTAAGAGGATCATCGACACTACATTAAAAAAGTTTGGGAAAATTGACGTGCTAGTTAATAGTGCAGCTGTTGCATGCTACGGCAGTATTTTAGATGAAACCTTCATGAAATCATACGACGGTATGGTTAATATAAATCTTCGGGCAATTTTGCAGCTGACATGTTTAGCTGCGCCATATCTAATCAAGACAAAAGGGAACATAGTTAATATTTCAAGTGTAGCTTCAATGCAGACCTCTAGAAATATTGGAGCTTATGCCACTCTTAAAGCGGCTCTTAATCACTTCACTAGAACAGCCGCAGCAGAGTTGGGCTGTTCAGGGGTGCGCGTTAATGCTATATCCCCTGGTCCTACTTATACTGATATAATAAAGAACAGCGGAGCCCCTTTTACATTTGAAGATTTGAAAAGTGCCACTTTATTGAACAGAATATCAGAACCCGACGAAATTGCCGATCTTATTTTGTACTTAGCCAGTGACAAATCTAAAGGTATCACCGGTTCGAATTTTGTTATCGATAATGGAAATCTGCTGATGTAGACAGTCCACCAGGTTCTGTCACCGAATGAACCATAACTAGTAATACATTAATATGATAAATATTATTAATATTTAAGTTGCAGGATATGAACTGAAATAATAAAAAATACAGTTCTATATAAGTTTATTAATAAAAAGGATATTAGACAGCATTCGTGTATTGCTCAGATACCAAATTTACTAGCTTTTAGCAAAAGTATTATGGAAACCGAAAACAAACAAACGCTTCACAACACCCAGATTACAGAAGAAATACAGAAAAGTTAAGTTTCCACATTAAAATGACCAAGAATCGAACCCGAGGATATGATGATAAAATAAATGTATTTTTAATTTCCAAAAATAAAAGATTTATTGCTAACGTGTTACAAGCATGTGACCAATAAATTTAGTAAGATAATAATTAATTCTCCAAAACTAAAACTCAATTCCAGGCACATCTCCAGTTATAACTTCTGCATAATCGTACAGGATTATGCAAAAGTTAAAAATAATCTTAATAAACTCTTAATAACCAAAATTTCGAAGTGAACATTGTTACAGATATGTTATAATGGAAATATTATGCAACGTATTATTAATCACAATTAATCTCAAACATTGTTTTCAATATCGTAATGCTAACCTTATAAATATTTTCACACAGTTAAAAAGAACTTAATCTTTATCAATTTCTAATAAATAATGAAGCTACAATATCAATTATATTGTGGCTATTAATCATAGTTGTGAAAATGGGAATATATTCGACCTCATCTAAGGTCAATAATTAAATGAAGTATATAAATCTAGATTATAATCGACAATTTTACTAGAAAGATGTTATTTTTTTGTTACCTTTACTATTAATCAGGACTTAATCAAAAGTTTGGGCTAAATCTTGCGATCTATTGAATTCCTTATTTCCATGTCTGTAATTTGCAATAGCCTGTCTTTGTGTGATTTAACAAGTACATAATATTAAAACTATATCTATATTAGCTTTCACCTGCGAATTTGCCCGCGTGGTTTCTAGGGAAATGTTTAGTATAAAAGTATCCTATTATCTATACCCTATTTGTATACCAAATTTCATCAAAATCCATTCCATTCGGCGTGATTGACGGACAAACAACTAAACAAAGAATCTTTCACATTTATAATATTAAAACAATATATAAAATCGAAAGGACATTCACTCACTCACTCACTCAGTGAGTGAGCACTCAGTCATCAAGAAATCTCAGAAACTACAAGTGTTAGGAGTTTCAAATTTTAAGTGTGGGTTCTTTTTAGGATGTAAGTGCCCATGAGACGGAATTCTATGGAAATCGATCATTAAGGGGGTAAATTAGGGATGAAAGTTTTTATGGTATTGACTCATTTCGGGACTTAAAACTAGATCACGCGTGCGAAGCCGCTGGCAGAAGGCTAGTTTAATATAATTGTATAAATAATTATATTAGATGTATAGATACTCGTAAATAATTATGAACAGCCTACGCTCATCGTTATTGATCGACAGCATGTCGTTTTGTTGTAATCATGTCATTATAGGTTTGTAGTAATCTACTCGTATAATGTAAAAAAAATCACCTCCAATGTGATATTCAATATATTTTCACTTACAACTATATTCTTTACGTATAAAACTTTATTTTCTACACGTTTTGGAAAACACCATGCATGCATTTTTTTACATTTTATATGACTCAAAAAGTTATCGGTTCTTGTAAAGTAAAGCTAGTTGAGTCACTCTCGACGCTCTAAATTTATATTTTACACCTTATTCACAGCATGGGAGTCGGCCGATTTGTTAGATTTAAATGGTAAAATGAAATGTTTATTCGTTGTTCATTTATACTTTTCTGTTACAGTCCATACTTGCTGAAACGAAACATATTGACAGCATAACCTGACAATTTTGTTTTTTTCTGATATAATACAATTATAAATATTTTAAATATCAGAGATTATACAGAATTACAGTAATTTAAAAATAAATAAAGGTAAAAATGTCGGCAACAAATATGATAGCAGAAATGTCACATCAACGCTCAGATAACATTAAATAAAAGTGCCCAGCAAATCATCCAGTAGGCATAGTAATGTTCGTGAAGGTGACTACGATACAAGCAATTCTGTCTTTGACCGATACAATTGATCTGAAATAAGTTTAGAGACTCAAATAATTTTCTAAATATTTCTCTTTGTCAAAATGAAAAAGGCGAAACTCAAAATCCCGTTATACCTACAGAAGCACACTAAGATACTAATAAACCTACTGACAAGATTAAATCAAAAGAATTTGAAACTGATAGTTTTTTATAAATTTGTATCTATTGACTATACTATTATCAAACAACCTACAAACAACTTGTTATTTTGACAGTGACATGTATATGATAGATCATTATTATTTTTGTTTTGAGCAAAGGGATCTAATCCATACAGCTATTTTGTTTTTGATATGAACTATTAGTAGTAGAATAGTGTGTTACTAACAATAAGTTTCTTTAGGGTATCACACCTGACCTGTTCTTCTTTTTTTTTATTTATTTAATTCGTAATGTTGAATCTTAAACTTGTAAATTAACACTGTAGTCGGTGGATAGAGAGTTTTAAATAGTTGATAGTAGTTAATAGTTGATTTTATTATTCACTATGAGAAGTGTGTACTGTCAGTCACCTCCAATGCGGTTGGTAGTGTATACCGTCACTAGCCGAAATATGTTAGTACCAATCCTTGACACTTTCCTACCTGTCCTTACTTTGCTCTTCAATAGCTCTATTTCTAATTCCGGCTTCATCTTGGAAAGAAGCTCAAATAATTCCATTACCTAAAGTTAGCAATCCCAAAATACTTGATGAATTTCGTCCTATTTCTATTCTTCCTTTTCTATCTAAAGTCTTGGAGCGTATAGTTCATCAACAGGTTAGTAAATTTATTTCTCGTCACAACCTTATGAATCCTCTCCAGTCCGGCTTCCGGCCCGGCCACATCACGACCTCAACGCTAGTAAAAATTGCCAGTGATATCAGTCTTGCGAAGGAAAATGGTCACTTGACGGTACTAACATTATTGGACTTCAGTAATGCATTTAACACGGTCGATTTTGACGTACTTCTTGCCTTGCTGCGCTTACTTAATATATCACCAACATTAATTGATCGGTTTCACAGCTACCTGTATGGGCGTAGGCAGCGAGTCCGCCTTGATTAGAAGTTCTCGTCATGGTGTGACACGAAAGCTGGTGTTCCTTAAGGCGGCGTATTGTCTCCCTTTTTGTTTACAATCTTTATAAATTCTATTTCTCAAAACCTTTCGTGATCCTATCACCTATATGCAGACGATATTCAGATTGACTATGATGCACCATTCTCTAAATTAACTGAAGCAGTAGTAAATATTAATCTCAACCTTCAACATATTGAAAAATGGAGTTTGAGTATCAACCCTGTAAAAACTCAAGCAATGATAACGTGTAGCTCCAGATTGCTCTCTAGGATTGACTTCCAGGCACTTCCGAAAGTTGTTTTCGATAATATAGATATTCCCTTCAGTCAAGTTGTGAAAAACCTGGGAGTATTTGTGAACAGTTGTCTGAATTGGGGTCCACAATTGCAATTGATTAGTCGTAAGTTATACGCGTCAGGTGTTTCAATCAAGAGATTACGTAACTTTTTACCCTAAAGCTGCGTTAGCGCAGTCTTTGTTGCTTACTATCCTAGATTATGCCGACGCCTGTTACCTTGATCTTTCGGAGGACCAGCTAAATAAACTTGAGCAACTTCAAAACTTTTGTATCAGGTTAATTTTTGGCTTGCGCAGATATGACCATGTTTCTCAGTATCGCACAGAGCTCAAGTGGCTTCCTATACGTCTTCGCCGGTATATTATTATATATATAATATTAATTGTAGGTATGTAGTTAATGTGTGTTTATATTTCTTGTTGCGCTTAATTGTATATTGTTGTTCACATGTACACCTCCGTCTCACTTATAATGACTATCTCTTTCTCCATCCAAATGTTGCCTGGAAGAAATCGCTTTAAGCGATAAGGCCGCCAATTGTTATGCATATTAATTAAGTTTCACTTATTTTTTTCTGTATATTAGTGTATTGTTAAAAATAAGGAGTTATCTATCTATCTATTGAGTTATAATGTAAACGTAAATTATAATCCTAAATGAATTTCAAGCATTTTCTCTAAGAATAAATATAATAATTATGGTACCTAACCGCGCCAACTTATCACTGATAGTCGAAACTTATCACACCGATACGTCCTTTCGTTAGAGCAGCTAACTGATAAACATTATTATATCATTTCATTATATCACAGCAAAATATATCAAGACTGACATTGGTAGCAATTCTGTTGAACAGACTAGACTAAATTAAGGTTTAGATCTGGCAAATTGCGTTCTCGATTGTTAAAATAACTAATATACTAGAATTCAACATATTTAGCATTATTAATAAACAAAGTTTACCGTTGGAGTAAATTTACGCTGAGACTGCACTTAGTATTAGTCAAAATTCATATTATCAAACAGACTTAGTACGAGATTCACCGGAAGTAATATTTAATCCTAGAATGTAGTAGTTTTATTTGTTTTATTTGAACTTTATTGAGTAATACGAGCATAGTAAAAAAGGCGGACTTAATGCCAATAGTATATATATGACTACCTTTGTAGTCGAGTGGTTCGCACGCCAGTTTCAAGGTGTCGCCATCTCTGAGGTCCCGGGTTCTATTCCCGGTTAAATCAATGTAGAAAATGAACTTTTCTATATTGTGTCTGGTCTGAGTGTTATGATACCTTCGTTGTCTCAGATACTCCGTTATACTGGACTAGCTAAAGCCCCAGGGCTTTAGCTATATCTTTATTTATATTAGTTTAAAAAAATATATAAATATAAGATACAAAGCAAACACAATAGATAAATAATTTAAAACTACAACAACAATAATACAAAACAATTTATAAACACATAACAAAATATATCACATACCAATAATATTATACATATATACATTTTTTATCCTATATACATCGAATATAAATACATATATAAAAATTATAATCAAAATCTTCACAAGCCTTCAAAAGAAAAGAGTGGACTCTTTTAATCAATTTATTTGGCGATCTCCAGATGGAATCGAGGAGTCCCACAGTCGAATTGATTGAAGAGTAAATAAGTTGGACATAAAGCCAGTGTGAAAAAGAGAAGTGGATAGTGAGAGAGTAGAGCGCAGGTGATGACCATTAGTGTCAGAGGGATTTTGGACAGTACTCTAAATTGGAAATTACATATTCAAAACCTGAATAGCCGCATTAGAAAACTGCTTCCAATCTTTTGTAAGCTTAGATTCTCTGGTGATCGTGATACATTGCTTTGCGTTTACTATGTACTAGTTCAGTCATTGTTACAATACTATTTAGTTACTTGTAGTGGTGTTGGTATTAGTATACTGCTTCCATTAGAGAGAACTCAACGGGCCATATTGAAGATAATGATGGGGAAACCGCGTAGATATAGTACTGAGCTCCTATACCGTGAATGTACGGTACTGACAGTGAGACAGCTATTTGTAATGAACAGTATTCTACGTAGGCCTTCCTTACATTCCTCCGCAGAAAATTCAATAGAGTGTCTAACATCTATCCTCTGCCCCTCAGCAGATGCAAGGATTTAATTAAAAATTGGCTGCTAAAATAAAATTTCAACCAAACAGAAGAAATTCTGCGTGCATAATTATTTTTCTTACATCTGAAACTGACCTTTTCTTTTGGACTAACGTTATAATGTTAAGCTCCAAATTTCTAAATTTAACAATGTAACTGGAAGACACAGGCAACTGTGCCTCAGTTTAACACTAGTACAGCTGCCAACGTTAACCTTTAATTATGGTGTGCACCTACAATAAACCATTGTAACTAGGTAAATTATTTGTTTTCTGAATTGCTCAATAAATTATTATTATTATATTGAAATTTTCACCTTAAGTACTTTGACGTATGAGCAACCGCAGACTGATAAGAAGAAACATGGCCCGACAGAAGATAAAGTTGATAATGTTATTGATAAGTGAGTCCAACTTATTGAGAAAGTTTTAATTTATATCACGATAACAGACATAGCCAAGAGAAGTGGAAGAGGGACTTCGTTTTAATAAAATACGTTACCACAACCGCGATTTGCGCAGTCCATTTGAACTGAAAGTCAATGTGGACAGCAAGGTTTTTAACACTAAGGGTATTACTTAGTTCTCGAATACAACAGACGGGAGTAGGCTGTATCGAGCTGAGAGATTTATTTCGAGCTATTCACACCAGTTGCCTGACATTTATATGTTACTTATTTTACAATTAATTGAAAATTGAGGTCAAAATTGATTGTGTAAAATTGAAACTACAGTAATTTTATTATACCTATTTATTTCAAAAGATAACCGTTGTCAGTTATAAAATCAGAACCAGTAATACCTATTGATCTGTCACTGGCTAAATACAAAATAAGATCTGCAATTTCGTCAGACTGGGAAACCCTTTGAAGTGGAGGTATCATCTGTCTGGACTGATCAGGATTTATTTCTCCGCTGATAATGTTATCCATAATGTCAGTAGCGACTGGTCCCGGGCTTACAGTGTTCACTCTGACGCCAGATGACGCTAGTTCTGAAGCTGAACCTCGTGTGAAGTGATCCAATGCAGCTTTGGATGTGGCATATGCTGAGAAAGTTGGAAGTGAAATAGTTTTTCCAGCTACACTAGAAATGTTGACAATATTTCCTTTAGTTTTGACGAGATGCGGAGCGGCCAACATAGTCAAGTGCACAACAGCGCGCACATTGGTTTTCATTATTTTGTCGTAAGCTTCGAGGATCGTTCCGTCGAGAATTTTCGCCATACCAAGGACACCAGCGTTGTTTACAAGAATGTCTAGTTTGCCAAACTTCTTGATGGTGTTATCGACGATTCTTCTAGCGTCGTCATCATTGGAAACGTCGGCTATGATGACGACGTGTTTTCCTCCGGCAGCTGAACATTTCTGCGAGACGTTCTTCAGTTTGGTTTCGTTCCTACCAACTAGCGCTACGCTGGCGCCCTCTCTACAGAACATGATAGCAGTTGCAGCCCCGATACCAGAACTGGCGCCTGTTACTATCACCACTTTGTCCGAGAAACTCATTTTAATAATGATACTACATATACTACTTGAAATGATATGGAAACAGCTATTTATATAAGAATTGATTACCCATCTTATATGCGGTAGATAAGATAATTGAGTAATTATATTAAAAATGTACCGTAAGACAGAGTGCTGTTAAATGTTAAACTTTCTGTGAAATAAAAAATACTATCTGTCTAAATTTATAACAATCAAATCATTCTAGTATCAAAGTTATGTAATATTTCTATAATCTTTTGTTACCAGAGAAGCAGTACCTTGTCTTTCTTAATAATCCTTACTGAAATTATAAAAGCGATAATAAATATGTCTGAACCGATTTAGACATTTGGCATAAAGATAGTAATGAAGCCCTGGGAAGGAGAGAGTTTAAATTTGATCCTGGAGACTACACTTTAAAAAAATAAACAGGGAGGTATTGGGAATAATTAATTTGCTTAAATTTTTATACATAGCTGTACTTCTACTTTTTATTTTAATAACACTGATTAGCTTTTAATAACTTAGAAAAAAAAAATTAATGATGAAAAATTGGAGGAAAAAAGCTACCAAAATTACTTGTTCCACGCAGATGAAGTGGCGGAAAAAAAATAGTATTACATAATACTAAAGATTATCTAAAGTGATATCAAAAATAATATATAATAATATATTATAAAAAATAAATAATAAAAAAATAATAAGTTAACCAAGTTTTAATCTCATGTTCCTATAAAGAAAAGATTAACGTTTTGGTTTACCGACGACTTCGTCGAATTCTTTTATAAAAATGGAAATAACACACTTTTAAATTCTAATACGGTCAGAAATTGTGTTAATATCAACTTCTTTCACATTAATCCGAATTTATTTTTTGTGAAGCTGTGCAATAATTCAAATAATTTTGGATATAAATAATCGGCCATAAAAATCTAAAAATCGTCCCCAAAAAATGTAAGGATACATATTGGCACCCATGAATGTATCCATTCATTTATTTTTTAGCTCTTAGTACATTTATCTGTAACATTTTTCTGTTTACAATAAAACCGTTTAACTAAAAAAGGTTTTTTTTTTATTTTGAATTTTTTAGTTTTTATTTTACTAGAGGGGCAAGGCTATGCCTGAATCTTGTGGGGAGGATTACGTTAGAGGATTTATGGAAATTATTTAATAGTACGCTTAATCAGATTTTACTAGGAAATGATTCAACAAATAAAGACGTTAAAGAATATTCTGATAAGGAAGTTTATGATCTCACCGAAGATTTATATATTGAATACAAATCGGATTTAAAAGTTGCTTTAATGAAATGTTTACCTATTTCTGATTCTGAAATAAAAAATACAAGTTGTCAGGGGGTAAATAATTTATTCAAATTACCTAAAATGAATATTCCTATATTCTCTAGGAAGTATGCTAAGTGGCCAACTTTTAGTGATTTGTTTATATCATTAATTCATTCAAATAGTTATATAGATAACGTTCAGAAACTTCATTACTTAAAGGGATATCTATCTGGGGAAACCGAACAACTTCTTCGACAAATACCAGTAGTAGGGGATAACTATGAGAGAGCATGGGAGCTTATGATAAGCAGATATAACAATAAAAAGTATTTATATAGTTGTATTTTAAATCGTTTAATGGGGCAACGGATTTTATTTTCGGATGGCTCTCTTTATCTCTAAAGTTTTCAGAGATAAAGTGCTGAAACATATTGGATATTTGTTAGTTTTTTTTGTTGTAGTATCTTCGAACCTAAACATCAAGGTAATTTAATCATCAGCTCGAAAAATAACAGCGTTTTTGGAAAATATATGCTGCCCAAAGTAATTATACCACGTGGACGAAGTCGCGGGCAAAAGCTAGTCTTATATGTACATATAACTCCCGCCCAATTTTAATAGAAGTTTTTTTTATTCATTGTATACGTTAGTAAAAAAATTGTAGAAGTCTTGATAGAATATAATAGGGATGATGACAAATTTTTGTTTGTTTGTCCGTCAGGTAGAGTGTTAAAAAATATTAAACACGTATTTTATTATTTTTTTCGTAATCATAAAATTACGGCGTTATATTGAGTTGAAATTTCACATGACGTCACGTTAGAGTACGTTTTGTACTCAACTGTGACGTAGCGAGCCCCCACTCCTCAATTTTAATACCTGTTATCTAAGCTATTTCTTGTTGAATTGAAGTAAAAAAAAATACGTATCTAATATTTTTCTATTATCTAACTGACGGACTAAATAGAATTGCATTTTTTTTACCCAGTCATCATCCCTATTGACGCAGATGAAGTCGCTGCAACAGTTAGGGCATGATGATCTTGAAATATTACCTGTTGTTGTGACATCAAACTATATATTTATGTCCATATTTTTCCGAAATCAAGCTTTTCACCTGTTTATTTCGAATGTAATGAAAGTAATTATCATAAATTTTACATTAAACAGAAAAACCAACACAACTATCGGGGAACAAGTTTCTTCGCATTTTAGATGAAAATTCAATACATATTTTAATAAAGTTTATTTACAATCAACTAAAATGTAATCCATCTAAAACACAATATGCGAAATAACCAACTTAATATATTTTTTGATATGTACTATCTACATGTGATATTTATTTTTTGAATAACAAAAGTGAGAAACAATAGTAATCTTAAAACAACTGATTCCAGAAACTGCTACTGAAGTTGGGCGGCGGTTTGCTGTAGGTTATTAAATAAATAATCACATGTGTTATGTTTATTTTTTTTGTGTAGGTAATATAAAAAAAATATTAAATGTCTTTTGGTATCTATCTTATATATTATAATAAAACAGTGAAAAAGTGTGTTTGTACATTCAATATATGTGAAATTACAGCTCAATAATTCATTAAAAATTAATCTTAACACAAGAAATAAAAATAAACTTGTCGTTCCAAGCTTCGGACTTCAGAAAACCAGAGGATCATTTCTGGGTAAATGCATTGCTATGTTCAATAAAGTTCCACAAAAAGTAGTTGACCTGCCCATAAATTAATTTAAATTTCATTTAAAGACCATATTTATGAGTAAAGGCTATTATAAAGTTGATGATTATTTTAAGGATCGCAATGCATGGAATTAATAGCCTTCGCTTTGTTCTATAAAGACTAATTATATGTTCAACCTATGTCCTACAGACTTTGAAAGTTGTATTTATTATTGTGATAATACATATTATTTTGGTAATGACATGATTTATCTAAATGTCATTACTTAAGATAAAAATCTGGTAAGTTTCTTTCGCTTGTTCTTCTTGTCACCTAAAAGACGTCCTGAACAAGTGGTAGGGGAAAAAAAATTTTTTTGGATTCAAAAGTGCTTGTAATAAGCCTACTTGAATAAAGATATTTTCATTTCATTTCATTTCATCGAACATTTCAATCTTCTTCTCTCTTAGTATAGAAGTGATATAATATGGCTTGCATTTTTCTTTCTAATTGACCTTTTACTTTTATTTAAAATTAAATACATTTTATATACGTTACACTGCCTACGGGTCTTTGTCTTGCATAGACATAAATATCTATCAAATTTCATTTCAATCGGTCTAGCAGGTTCGGAGTCAACTGTGATAGACTGACAAACGACCGAGTGACTTATAACATCAGATTCTCATAATGACATATATCAGTGATACGAAATGAGTTATAATGAAGTAAAATGTTTATCTGTCATCCTCATTATTATTCTTTGTGTGCGATTAATTTATATTATTCATGATGTAGGTGCGACTTGATAAATAAAATAAAACAATCCGGGCAATCGTTCTTACTTATGAGAATTGTTATTTTAATGTGTTTTAACTGGTTTCAAACATCAATAGGTTCAACATAAATTTCGTAAAATTGTCATTTCAGTAAAGATGCAACGATGGGAGTAAAAACAAGTACTTATTCGATACTTATCTTTCGGAACCAAATACTTTGAAATCGATACTTTAGAACCAAATAAGAAGTAGTTCCGTGAAGTAAATATTTGTATCGGTACTTGATCTAGTTTACCAAACTCTTTAACAGTGTCAGCAACTATTCTTCTAGCATCGTCATCATTGAAAGCTGAACATCCCTGTGAGACGATTTACAGCTTGGTTACGTTCCTACCGACTAGCGTTACGCTGGCACCCTCTCCACAGAACATGGCCGCAGCTGCAGCTCCGATACCGGAACTCGCACCCATCACTATCACCACTTTACCAGAGAAACTCATTTTCGCTGACTCAATACATATACTAATCAAAGTGCCTTTACAATAAAGGCTCTCTACGAGTATAAAAACTCTTTATCTCATTGGTTGATAAGCTATTCTCACCTGATAAATATTTAAAGTGCTTTATCACGATCGCTGTATAAATACTGCTGTAATTAGTCGAGTAAGTTATTGTATTTTTGGTTATACAATTCACATCTATATTAACTATCTAGTATGATTTAACGATATATATTATAAATTATTTCATTAAAATATTCCATCTGACTAACAATGTTCTCCCTTGCGTATATTAATTGCGCTGCGTTTTCTGATGTAAGATAATAACTTCCTTTGGGTTACAGAAAGTACTAGAATAATTCATGGGTCAAAATAGACCCTTACCAATAGGTATATTTTATTGGAGCAATAAGAAAGGTCAGATACTAAACTACAAAGTTAGTATTAACTATAATTGTTATTAGAACTATATAATAGATAGTTTTTTCTAGATTACTATTAGTATTTGGATGGTACATTGTGTTGCCTCCGCGAGATCACTTAAGGTAACTTCTCATGACTTGGTTTGGATGGAATATCCGCTCTAAGGTCTGTGCCTTTATTGTGTTGTTGGTGTAAATTGAACTAAAATTGTCTGATGATAAAACATGCCACTGACGCTAACCACACTTATTTATTTCTATGTCATATGTTAATTGTTAATAGAAAAGGTCACTAGTGGAAAATATATTATAATCTAGAAGACTATAATTACAGTTGCGTAATTGTATATGGTGGCTAATACAATGTCATGAATATATTCCAGTGTCAATGAATGTCTTTATATTGTAAAATTTGTCATCGAGAATTCAGTATATGTTATTATTTATTAAATATTTCAATAATATGGTAATTATTTAAGTTAAAATGCAGTAGTGTTTAGGTAAGTTAATTAAATGGTGTGTACGCCAAAAACTTCGGAACATAGTCAGAAGTTTTTGGCGTAGGTAGATTTTTTAGTGTCTTAAAAAATTAAAAAGATGCGTAATGAATACGATTAGAAGAAAACGTTTTAGAAACATTTTTTCAGGTGAGGTGAGGTTTAGTACTACTTTAAAGCTTAATTGCCAACACAGCCCCGTCACTTGTTCCATTGGACTGAGCATAATGTGGAGATGAAGTAACTTGACCGAATCCCTATTCAGAGGAAAATATATTAAAACTACGGCATGAATATTGCGGCCCGTTATCGCTTACTCCTACTTCTGGTATACCGTAACGAGTGAAATTTTCTTTCATGACTTTTATAATTGATTCTGCTGTAGAATCTTTTAATTGTGGAATTTCTATGAATGCTGAGTAATAATCCACTAAAATTAAATAATTTTTCTTTCCATATTCGAACAAATCAGTACCAATTTTGTTCCACGGTAAATCAGGTATTGTGATCGGTATCATCGGTTGTTTTGCAGGTTTATTTGAATTCTCCTGACATATCCTACATTTTTTGACATAATCCTCAATATCTCTGTTGATGCCCGGCCAAAACAACACTTCTCACGCGCGCCTCTCGCAACGGTCTATTCCTAAGTGCCCTTCATGAATAATTTTTTACATTTCTGATTTTAAGGCTGAGGGAATAACATTTTGTTTGTTTTTAAATATTTCTCCATCAACGCAATATAACTCATCTCTCATAGAATAAAAATATTTTAAATGTTCTGGAAAACTATATTTATGAATGGGCCATCCTTTATTTATGTAGCCGATTAATTCTTTTAACCCATAGTCCTTAGCGGTTTCCTTTTTAATAATTGTGAATATGTCCAACAGTATTGTTTTGAAAATGGCTATACTCTTCAATAAAATGACAATAAACACCTTCGTATTATATGAACACGGAACCTGTAAATGGTCCGAAACGTCAGTAAAACAAGAAGTTGTTTCATTCATTTTTAATGACTTGATAATTATTTGTCTTGGAGAAGCTTGTCAAATATCATAAATAGGTCATTATATTTTTGTGATATATATAAATATTAAACAACACATTCATTGCTCAGATAATTTTGTTTGTAAGCAGCTACAGCACTTGTATTATGGAAACCAGAAATGATTAAGGTAAAATTATACCCAGACCGGAAACAATATAGAAAACTTCGTTTTTCTCCATCACCCTCCTCAGAGCTCCTCCACCTCATTACCGCAGAGATGACGAAATCTTGAAACTGGCGAAGGGCTTGAAGAGAAAAAAGCAGCCCCTGCTTAGTTTCTCGCCGGTTTTTCTCAGTATAAGGTCGCCCCGACGTAGATATATGTATATACAAAACGCAGGTCCGGTCATGCGTGGAGTATTGCTCGCACCTTTGGGATGGCTCCGCTAGGTACCTTCTCGATGCTTTGGATAGATTGCAACGCCGCGCAGTACGCATTATTGGCAATGGTAAAGTCACCAAGAACCTAGAAAGCCTGCAACTGCGCTGAGACGTTGCATCACTCAGCGTCTTCTACCGTCTCTACCATGGTGAATGCTCTGAAGAACTCTTTTCCCTTATCCCCTCGTCTCCCTTCCTCCTCAGGACCACACGTGCTGGTTTGCGTTGCCACCAACTAACTGTAGCAACGATTCCTTCGTGTACAAAGAAATTTGGCTACTCATTTCTTTGTTGTACTTCCAAAACATGGAATTGTCTCCCGACCCATGTATTCCCTCCTTCCTATGACATGAGGTCCTTCAAGCGGGGCGTGAAGAAGCACCTTGCAGCTCGGCAAGGGGAGGTTGGCTAGTGCAGTACCTACGTACTGTTTTCACAAGCTGTCCTCGCGTTTGGACTGCGCCTCCGCTTACCATCAGGTGGAGCGCAGTCATTTGCCCTCCATTCTATATAAAAAAAAAAGATCTGCGGACCGATGGCGTAGCTATTGACATTCACAAGTGCTTGTAACCGCTTGTAACTAGACTGAATAAATAATATTGAATTTGAATAAATTTATAACCGAGTGACTCGTCCACGAGGATCGTAAAACATTCATATTTATTATATTTTGCAGTCACAATAGCAGTAGTAGTATTTATTCCACATTGGAACCCTAGAATAGCGTAGCACTATTTTTAAAGCTAATGGCCTTTTGGCTTGCTATATAAATACAATAGGAAATAAACAAAAATACTAATAATTACTCGGCGTGTTAAGTACTCGTCAACAATTGTTATTTCTAACACTTCCAATATCATAGTTAAGTGAAATATAACAAAATGGCCCCGAAACCTCAAGAGAAAGTTGGAGAAAATGTGGGACGATTGAACAAGTCGGGTGGAGAAGCTGTGGTCATATCTGGAATATCTGGTCAATATCCGATGTCAAATAATGTCAAAGAATTTAGTGATATTCTGTATAGTAAGGTTGGTTATTTATAAAGGTATTCAGTCAAAGTCTAAACGTATCAAATATGGAGAATGGATCATTGCAAACGACGCGATTATTTAAATTATCATTCATTCAAATTGCTGCGATTGCTACTTTAAACGTATAATAAAAAAAGAAATCGCTATCTCAATTCCGTCGTCCAAGTTATTTGACGACGGAAACGTTAGAATGAAAAAGAAATGTAACTTGAATATTATCTTCGCGTAAAATTATGTAACATTAATAACAAAAAATTACTTTGCATCAATTTAAAGTAACAATTAAAGTCACAATCTGACTTCGGTCAAAATATGAAATTATCATTTTTTGCCTAAAGAAATAAAAAATAAAAAAATCATTACATGGTCCATTGTTCTCGTATTTAATTATACTCTTTTCTTATAAGAAAATATTAAAGGTAGAATAAATGAAACCACATGGCTTCAGAGATGTTATTAGTTAATTTAATTGATTATGCTTATTGTCAAACGTGTAGTTAGGAACTGCTGCATCTATAAGTGCAAGTGATATCTGAAAGCAAAACAAGCTTTCATGATCCAAAACTATAAAAAAATAGAATGTTGGCGAAGCGAAAAGGAGTGTTACCATATTTTTTTATATTTAATGATTTGCGAGTTGGGTAAAACAAAAACCAGAATTTTCCATTTTTATATTTCCTAGGTTAATCCTATTACGACAGAAAACAAGCGATGGAAATCAAACTATCCCGAAGTATCGCAGTACGTGGGCACAGTGCCGGGGCTGGATCGTTTCGACGCGCAATTCTTCAAGGTCCACTACAGGCTCGGCAGCAGCATGGACACAATGTCTAAGAAAATTCTGGAACATACATATCAGGCTCTATACGATGCTGGTATATTTATTAAATTATAAAATTAGCGGAATATATCAGTTAACTAGCTATTCCTATGAATGGAGTCGAATCGAATAAGATCAATGGGGCATAACCCATTATGTGGGCTTAATGCGGATCGGTGGGTGTTAACGTTGCTGATGCAGCCAGGACTAACGGCTTAAAGTGCATTGTGCCAATGTTGTCCACAGTGCTCAAGATAATAATATTTTGGTCACCCATCCCGTAAACGGTCCTTACGAATGTTATTTTTCTATGTTTTTTCTCGTTTCTCGTGCTCTGGTTGTCGCTTGTGTCTGAGCATTTTATTCGTACCTTTAAACTGTCCTTCTTTTGTTTTTGATCTTTTAAAATTATTATTATTTGTCTAGTTGTATGCACAATCGGCTACTTATTGTTCTATTTTCCATCTTATGCTAGGTTGCCTGGAAGAAGTCGCTGGCTAGCGATGAGTTTGTCGTTTGTACTTAGTTATGTAAAATAAGTATTCATGTATGTCCTTGTTGTGCATTATTTACTTACTTATTAAACTGCAATTTAAACCGAATGTGCTTACCCACTACGCCATCGGACCTCTTATACCTAAGCTATACTAATGTTATAAAGAGGAAAGATTTAGTTGTTTGTTTGTTTGAATCGAATTTGCTCCAAAACTACTGGACCGATAGTTTCAGAGTACGGGGAGCTACATCAGACGCGGATGTCATAGGCTATAATTTTGCGGTAGAGTCGCGGGAAAACAGCTTGTTCATTATACCCTGTGAAAACTTATCGGCGGTACGCCGTGGAGTATGAAGGCTACACGGGTTGGCGATAGTCAAAACTACTTTCTCGATCTGTCTTTAGCAAACTGCCAGCTCTTTCAGAGAACAAGCGCATTTCTCTATCAAAGGAAATTTCATTCTCATACCATACTGCATGTATGTTATGATCAGCAATGAAACGCGCTATGCGATCTTCAGAAGTTTCCTGAGATAAAACGCTTGTTGTATAAGTTCTCCGAAAGCTCAAGAGACGGTCCCTGACGGTTAATGCTTCAGATTCAACTTTATAGTGCATGAGCCTCGCAATGGGCAGTTAAATACGTTTCACGTTTTTCAAGTGTCTTCCGGACCAAGCGTTTTCCATCCGATCTCTTTCTTTGTCAATAAAAGTCGGTCGGTGCATGTCTGACGGAAGATACGTGGAGTTTTATTTGTTGATATAAAAAAAATATATACATATTAGAATTTCGACTTTCCACACTCGAAGGAAATTATCTACTAACACATACTTCCGAGAGGTGCTTAACTGAGCTTCCGTCAGATTTGAACGGCCATCATCATCATCATCAGCCCTTTTACGTCACCAATTGCAGGAAGCCAGGCCTTCCTTATGTATGGTTAAGGAGGATGGGCCACGACCCTCTATGCTGGCCCAATACGGACTGGAGGATATTAACGACTGCAAATTCCAAAGCCTTTCAAAGCTTGGAGTTGTTTGAGATAATATTTTTTTGGTCAGCAATCCTGTAACCGACCTTTACGAAAGTTGCTTAACAACTACAATCACGGGCCATGGCGCTTATTCACTGCACCACCGAGCAACTCTGAACCGACCCTCAGACTTGTGACTTTTGACCAATGAATAAACCATTGTTTCTAGCGAAGACTGAAAATACCAACTTTGAAGTACGTATCTACAGCAATTTGTATCTTAAAAAAAAAACAAAAAGAATATTAATATAAAAAATAGTAATAAGAGAAAAAAAATAACTCGAGTTGTCTTTAAGTTCGTACTTCAGTTGACGTGAATCTGACTTTTTTAACGTCGTGGAAAAGCTACTGACATTGGCAAGCAACAGGTGGTGAGTAGGATTCTCCTGCGTGACCCCGACAGTGAGCTGCCCAATGGGTCCCGAGAGGCCTACCCACAAAAACCCGTACGCTACACCCTCTCATGGGAGGAAAATTGGTGAGGCTCGGATAAATCGAGTGCCTCTCCCAGACAGACGAAACCGTGCAATGCGGGGGCGGCTGCAAACTACCTCCGCTGGCCCGACGACGACGTGAACCTAATCTGATAAAAATATGCGTTCACTGTAAAGTACTCGATGGTTAATTGCATCATCGGAAGGCTCTTTACGCTTGTTCTCCTACTCGAGTGATCGTATACAATTCGTCAATTATAAGCTGAACCCTATTTAATATGATTGGCCATATATAAATGAGGTCAACTTACTTTGGAGAGTGAAAATTTTGGAATCTTATTTTTTTATTTGTCATCATATCAATCAAATATCAATTATCATTTTATAGACAATATTAATTCGTAGCTCGGTGGTGCTACGGATAAGCGTCACTGCGTACGATCGCTATTGCTAAGCAATTTTCGTAAGAGTTGTTCAATGGATGGGTGACCAAAAATTATTAAGCAAAGGCCTGAGGCCCTGCAGTTTGTCCGTGAAAGAGTTAACGATGATGGTCAATATACAAAAGACGAAAATTTAATAAAACAGTTAATATTTCATAGCAATTTTGGCGAACACGTCACTTCAAATTGACATAACTTTTTTATTTGTGAACCGATTGAAATAAATCTTAGACTAAATGTTAACGGAAGAATGCCGCAATATATTTGTGAAAACTGCATTTCAATCGGTGCAGCCGTTTCTGAGATTATCGTGCACAAACGCACAGACAAACAGACAAAAAATCTAAAAAATCATTGTTTTGTGTCTATTACGCTTATAAATGTCCCTCATAAGAGTTTTTTTCATATATCTTCAATGTACAGACATCAATCAGTTACGTTTTTATTATAGTATAGAGATAAAATGTCGATAAAATGAATAATTAACGTTCTATTTTGACCCAGCTTCCTCTATCGCAACTATTAGCGATTACGATTTCTTATAATCACCACGTGAATTACATTCACTAGATTGTAATTGATCTACTCACTCAATCGAAGTTGTATGTTTTATAAAGGCTATTATTTCATTTCATTAGAAATATTACTAGAATATCACTTAAGACTCTTAGCTATCTTCGTTAGTGCGAATACTTTGTAACCTGCAAGTTCTGCATGTTTTTGCATAAGCTCTAAAACAATACGGTATTTTTTGGTTCTAGACAAAGTATATTATGTCTTAGGGCCAAATTCTACTATTTGGTATATATCTGTGTATTTTGATGATGTCAATAAAAAGTCAAAAACATTTAATATTTGTTTAAGGCATAAACCCCCATCACCTGAATGGAAAGAAAGTAGCTGTATTCATCGGTGCATGCTTCTCAGAGACTGAGAAGGCTTCCTTCTATGCATCCAGTGCGAGGACCGGCTTTGGTATTATGGGGTATATGAAAATTTGATATTTGTAATAAGATTTTAATAGCCATTGTTTAAACGAACGTTTGTTTAAATAATAATTATAAAGAAGTTGCAACGGCAAAGTACATATTTTTGGTTGGTTATAACAATTGCGCAATGCTATCTCGAAATTACATACAGACATCGTGTTACCGAATAATAAAGCCAAAAGTAAAAAAAACCAACCAACATATATGAAATAAGTTATGAACGTCTAGGAAAAAAACATATAGATAGATTGATCTTTAAATTATTTTATTATCTACTTAATAGATGCAGTAAGTCCATGTTCGCCAACCGTATTTCGTACTGGCTCAACTTGAAGGGTCCTTCCATGGCTATCGATGAGGCCTGCTGCAGCTCTTCCGCAGCTCTCACTCAGGCTTATCAGGCCCTCACCAGAGGTGATTGCGAGGCTGCTATAGTGGGAGGTGCTAATTTGATCTTGCATCCACAGACCTCTATTCATACTGGCAGGTAATATATGTGTTATTGTTTGAAAATATAAAAAAAATTTAGACGTTATTGTAAATTACTTCCAGATTACATACTCGTACTTTCATTAAACAATAGATCTAAATATTGTCATGTTATAATAAAAGAATATACTATAAACTAAACATATTTGGAAAACAATCAATATTTAATTAATAAATTTTTTTTCAGGATTATAGCGAACTGCTCAGATGGCAAAACGAAATCTTTCGATGACAACGCTGATGGGTGTGTTAAATCTGAAGCCATTCAAGTAGTATTTTTACAAAAAGCGAAAGATGCCTTGAGGTTATTATTCTTATCTTCTATGTTATAAGCGTATTGCAGATCATATAATCAAACAATGATGCTAAGAGTAAGACTTCATGATTTTGCTGTTAGATCCACTGAATTTTAAGATCCTAAGATCGCTAAATATAGCTTTCAGTATAAAAAAAGGAGTTTCGCCATGGAAAATCTCGAACTTTAGAAGAGTCGATTCCGCCTAAAAAGATACATTCAGATAACAATATTTATTCTGGTAGGATTTATCCTATATTTAAGGATTTTGTTCTTTTGTAAAACAATTTGGAGATTTTCTGCTAAATTCATCAACATTATAGCAGAAAAAATTAATAATAACATTCTCATATGCCCATTATAAGATTAAGTAATACCATATTTTTTTCATATTCCAGAACTTACGCTGAAGTGGTACACATAAAAAATGAATACATTCAGATGAACGCTGACCACGGCTTTTACAGAGATCCTATTGTTATAAATAAATTCTTGGAAAAATTTTACGATGAAGTCCGTATTTCTCCTGAAGTTGTGGAATATGTGGAAGCCATGGGATCAGGTAATGTTTCTTTTATTTTTAATATGACTCCCCTGAGAGATATTTGAATTCTGAGAGTATACAGATAACACTCGCAAAAATAAAGCATTATTTACTAAACCTCGAAATTAAAATTAAAACACCTCATAATGAGAAATAGAATAATATACGATCTCAACCAATCGGGTAGTGGTGGAGTGCAGGACATCGTGAATACTCAGGGTATGAGCCAGTAGTCGACCACGTCCACCCAACAGCTGGGTCTGCTGGAACTCGAATGAACTTTGTAGAAAAAAGTCTGTATTTCTTTTAGCGCAATGTGAAATGCGTTGCGACGTTCTCTACAGCCTCCTGGTTGGTGGAGATCATACATAGATAATTTTAAGATTGAATTTTAACTATGACTGGTACAAAGGTCATGTTATAATTTTGAATATTCCTTCAGCTATACCGAATGCGGACAAAGCAGAGTTAGAAGTAATAAGTGAACTATTTTGCAAAGATAGAATCAATCCCCTGTTGATTGGCAGCGTATTTTCTAACATTGGATACTCAGAGGCTTCATCAGGACTCTGTTCCTTGATAAAGGTACAAAAACATACCAGAGACAAAATATATAAATGTGCTTACAGACATCTTTATTAATAATTATAACAAATCGACACTTTACAAAATAAGTCAATGGTAGGATAAAAATACATTATTTAGAGATTTCTATTAATGCTTTATGAAGAATGGAAATTAAGAGTTTAACTCTTACGTATGAGTGAACATAAACTTTTTGACCCCATATAAAATCTATTTCATTTCTTTAACTTTCAAACTCAAATTTTAGCCACATGTATGTTAATAGATAATGCTGTATTAATTAAATGCCAGGTATTATTGGGATACCACACTGGCAAAATACCGGCAAACCTGCACTGCTCGAGCCCGCGCAGCGACGTGCCCGCGCTGCATGACGGCAGGATGCGCGTCGTCACCGAGAACGAGCCGTTCCGACGCGGCTACGTGGCCATCAACAACCACTCCATCACAGGGTGTACCGCTCACATGTTGGTCGCTGGCAGGTATAAACCCAAGGCAAGTGTGGTGTGGATTAACTATAATATCAATAATTTATTTAATACATAATATTGATATGGGAGTATAAGTATTACCTTTTATAAGGAATAATCACTTGTATTTGAATCACTCTACGAAATTTGCTATAGCAAATAGCAAAGAATCATTTTAGCTTGGCAATTCAATTTATTTGTGAGTATTATATTTCAGGACAACACTCGATACAAGTCGAGCATACCTCATATCGTGACGATATCAGCGAGACACGAGAGCGCAGTACAAAAAATATTTGAGGATTTGAAATCTCGTCCTGTGGATCCTGAACAACTGGCGCTCTTCCATAATATACACAACACAAATATATCTGGTCACCTAGCCAGAGGTTATATTATTCTTGGTAATCATACTTTTAATGACGATATACAATTAGGTATTATTAATAATTGATAAAAACTTAGTCTTTATAAATCTCAACCAGTCCTGGGCTCTAAATATCTCAATTCATCAAAATTAGTGCAATGGTTTAACTACTAAAAATTTGCAGGCAATAAATGTTTGCCTGTTTTAATAATATTAAAACTTAGTTAGTTTTCCTTCTTCCCTTTAAAGACACAAATTCGGAACAAAAGACAGTGACTTTGACGGAGAATTGCGAGTATTTCGACGACGCGCGCCGCCCGCTGTGGTTCGTGTACAGCGGAATGGGCTCCCAGTGGGCCGGCATGGGCACTCAGCTCATGCGCATACCCATCTTCGCCGCCGCCATCTACAGGTAATTTGTAGACTATAATTAAACTTAAACATTTAATTTGTATCTATAAAAATAATAAGGTACTGAAGCATTTTTAAAAAAATTTAACAGATTTCCATTGAGTATCATTTGAATGAATGTGTCCTTTTCAGTGAATGAATTATCAGGGTACAAAAATTAATTTCAGATGCCAGCGGGCTCTTGAACCAAAGGGAATTGATTTAGTCCATATCATAACTTCCACTGACAAAAAAATCTTCGACAACATACTTCACTCGTTTGTTGGTATCGCTGCCGTACAGATCGGACTAACGGATGTTCTAAGAGAACTTGGACTCTTTCCAAATAAAATTATAGGTGAGTAATCAATTTATGTGTTATCAACATCGAATATAGTTCATGTTATTTTAAGTACAAAGTAAAATTATGTGTTTTTTAGATCACTGACCCACCCCAATTATTTTATTTTAAATTGAATTTACGTAGGTAAATGCAGTGGGGTCACTAATTCCTTTTCTTATTTATCCGTTCGTTTGGAGTCAAGCCGTTAGCTGCAGCTGCATCTGCACCACTGATTTGCGCTTGGCCGTTAGGTATAATGGGTATTAAATGTGTCTTATTACATGTCAACATTAAATAGATAATGAAACTAACGTTTTATTTTTCCACTGTTAACAATAAATGTTAAATAAAGAAGTAAACTTCCAGGTCACAGTGTCGGTGAGCTCGGTTGCGCGTACGCTGATGGTTGTTTCACCGCTGAGGAAATGATTCTATCCGCTTACAGCCGTGGACTTGTCTCAATCCAGACACCGTTCATCCGCGGATCAATGGCTGCAGTTGGTATCGGCTATCAAGATGTAAGGATTGATAAAAAAATTGTCATAAAATAATGTGATCACACCGATTCGCTTGGACTCCTAAAATTATTACTTGATTGTGGTTTTCACACCACATTAAAATGTGTTCGATGATGTGAGTCAAAGTTGAAGAAGCTAATGCTCTTAATTGTTTATCAGATCAAGGATATGCTTCCTCCTGAAATCGAAGTAGCTTGCCATAATTCGTCCGAGTCCAGCACCATATCGGGACCCGCAGACATGATGAGGGAGTTTGTGGCGAGTCTCTCCTCCAAAGGAATATTCGTGAAGGATGTGCCATGCTCCAATATTGCGTATCATTCCCGCTACATCGCTGAGGCTGGTGAGATATATCAAAGTCAAAGTCAAAGTCAAAATAATCTTTATTCAAATAGACTTCTTAAAAGTACTTTTGAATCGTCCAACATTTTTTCCCTACCACTCGTTCAGGACGTCTTTTGGCTGATAAGAAAAACGAGCAAGAAACTCACCAGCTCTAATATGAGTAATGACATTTACAAAAACCATGTCGTTACCAGATCAATACATTATAAACAGAGATAAAATAAAAAAAACTATGGTCTTATAACAATAACATAATCATTTAATAATAATGGAAACAAGATAATGAGTTTAGAAGTAATCACCTATCCAGTTGCTGGATCATCTCTAGTCCAAGCGTTCCTATCTGTTATATAATCGGATATCTTATAATAAGCTTTTTTAATAAGTATTTTTTAATAGTAGATTTAAACTGCATGATATCTAATTGTTATTTTTTGCTTGGGACCTTATTGTAGAAGCGCACACAAAGACCCTTGAAAGAGTTATTAACTTTTTGCAGTCTAGTGACAGGCACCGTTAATTTATTTTTATTTCTTGTATTAAAATTGTGTACATCACTTTTTATAGAAAACAAACTAATATTTTTACGAACGTACATTAAGTTCTCGTATATGTATTGAGAAGCTATAAGATAGAAGATCCAAACATTTTTTTAACGTCTGATAGCTGAAAATCTTAAGCACAGCTTTAGTCATAATAATATGGTTAATTTATTATTAAAGTAAAATTAAAAAATAACAGCAAAGTTTTATACAGTTACATTTCTAATATATCATTGGATTCTCATATAAAATTCAGTGTATAATAGGGTAGACCAATGGGTCGAAGAAATCAACTGAAAATTAAAATATTCTCTGTTCAAATAAGCATGTTGAAAGCCCTTATTGTTATTTCTACGTAGTTTTATGTTTATAGCTTCTTACATAGTTTAACAGACAAAACCTGGGTTCTTTTATGTTAGCACTGTTTGCTCCTATGCATTCTTGTGTAGCAATTTCTTCGGCTCATCAGCAGATTCAGATTTATAACCGCACCGCGCCGTTCACACAATTCTACGTTTTTTGCTCTCTCTTTAATCAAGTAAGGGCTATGAATTAGCTCCGTTTTTTTATGTAAATCTATGAAATACAAGTTGTTACCACATCACAGAGTTAAATTAGGTTCAAAGAAGAAACAAGCACGATAGCTTTTCATTTTCTTTTTCTATGTTTAAATTTCACATTTATCTTACACTGCATTACATTGGACACTGAATATTCACTAGTCGCTTATTTTCGTGCATAAAATCTAGGACCAAAATTGCTGAAGTACCTATCCGAAGTAATTAAGGCGCCAAAACAGCGAAGCGACCGATGGCTGTCGACTTCTGTATCAAGAGACAAGTGGGATGAACCAGCTGCTCAAACATCTTCTGCCGTGTACCATACTAACAACTTACTGGTTAGTTGCATAGTATATTGGAATTAGTGCTCTGATAGTAAATTAACTTTAAAATTTTTAATAGGTACCTATATAATAAATTTTACTTAAATTGCTAATTGAGACAAGATTATAAAAGGGGTTTATATTTTTTTCCGAGGACTGTTATAAGTTATTACATATATCGTTCTATTGAACTACTCAAATATTATATCTGCAATAACTATGACGTATAAATCTAATGATTTAATCATAACTATAGAATCCAGTACTGTTTGAAGAAACATCCCGACTAATTCCTTCCAATGCGGTGTTAGTGGAAATAGCCCCCCACGGTCTGCTGCAAGCTATTTTGAAGCGTTCCTTACCAGTCTCGTGCAAACACATCCCGCTCACCCGTCGAGGACATCCAGACAATGCGTTAATGGTACTGGAAAGCATTGGCAAGTAAGTAAACATATTAACATAACGTGTATTGGACCAGTATTAACAGGCAAAGAAGACAGCAGCAACATATCACACAGTCAGTATTATAGTTATTTAATAATGTTATTATGTAATAAAGAATGAGCAAATGACTGAAGACTATTTGACGAATAATGAGTACCGAACATGTCTAGATAGTAATAAAAAAAACGATTTCATAATTTCAGATTGTTCATGGAAGGATATCACCCCAAGGTAAATGTGTTATATCCAAAGATAGAGTTCCCAGTTTCAACAGAAACACCGATGATGTCGCATCTTGTGGAATGGGCCCACAATGAAAAATGGTAATTATAAAGATTAATTACTGTGACATGTGGTAAGTTGTTAAAATATATATTAAACCTTGCATTGTTCATGCTTGTAGGCCTCTACCTCTATACGTTGCTGCACATAGAAAAATTGCTGCTGCTGCCAAATATGTGGTTTGTCTTCATGATCCCGAGCACAACTACTTGAGTGGACATGTTATCAAAGGTAGATACACAGAAATAGTTTAATAAATTATTTAATGCGGAATAATGGGTTAATATCAATGATAAACGATAAATGCTCTTTATCATATATTTTTTATACTTTTAACTTTTGTTGTTTGCCAAATATTTAAATTCTCGCAATACCAATTTCTTTTGGGTTAACTATGAACAAAAATAAAATCATATTATTAGTTATGTGCGACATTGTAAAAAGTGATCAGTATTTTGATAAAATTGTATATTTATTTACCTGAAATCAACATCATGGCAATAATTTGTTGAATATAAAGATACTCTTTATAGGAAAAACAGTGATATATCCACAACCTTTAGTGCTTTAGCTGAATGAAACCATAATGAAGACCAAATTATAACTTTTTTTAGGTAAAACGGTTTATCCATTCGCGGCAGCGTTGGTTGCTGTTTGGGATACTGTAGCTATGTACACGAACAAGCCTAAGAAGGAACTATCTGTGACTTTCCGAGACATTCAGTTCTTCGCTCAGCCTGTTTTTAACAAGAACAGGCCTCTGATGATTCACGTGGCGATACACAGAGGGCAAGGGCGCTTTGAAGTAAGATGAAACAACATTCTAAGCAAGTTATTTGTCTCTACTTTTATCTTCTTTTTTGACAGATATTGTCAATCTATATCTGTAATTGCTTTATTAAAAACATTATGTAAAATTTAAGAACTTTACTTTTTATTAAAATCAATAAAAAATATTTCAAGGTCATGGAAGGAGACTCAAAAATAGCTACTGGATATGTAAATGAAGGTTCTATATGTGATATAAACAACACTTTTGAAAAGGTCGCAGATAAATCTATTATGTTTAATAGCAACGACGTATATAATATTCTTTTTGAACGTGAATATTCATATGGGTAAGTTGTAAAAAAATAGAATAGAATAGAAAATTCTTAATTGTTAACATTGGACAATGTATACAAATTTCAAACAGATTAACGAAATTTTGTAACAATTGGCGACCATATAATGGGGGTAGAGGGAAAGAGAGAGATGACAAATCATTAAATACGTTTATTTTAAATAACTAATACTAGCACTTAAACTGTGAAGCAACTGTGCAACTTCTACACCCAGTTAGTATCAGCAAGACCTACTGTGGATTTCTCCCATACAAGTTTTCAGGCAGAAACGGCAACAAATCTCGCAAAACGTGTGGAAACTGTTATGTGATGGCAACAATTTATTAAATTATTTTTTTTTATTTTCGTTATTTATATAATTATTTTGGTTTATTTTACTTATCGAAATAGCTTTGTATGTTTTAATTCAACTATTTTAATTTAGTCAAATTTCATATACTTAATTAAAAAACCATAATCATTGATGAAATGTGCAAACAACAAGCAAGGACATTATAAAAGTATAAAAATTTCTATAGCTATGGCTAAAGTCATAACTAAATAGTTGGGCGGTCTTCCAGATAACTGGATATGAAGTTGCAAGATATTATAGTTTCACAGTTATTTCAATGGTTATATATAAAATTATTCGCTTATAATAATAGTTTAGAGAGTATTAATAACAAAAAACTAGTTTTAGTTTTTTTTATATTTTATTTTCCAGAGGCGTATTCCGTAATATTTATGGTGTTGATGACACTCTCACGGAGGCTAAACTGCTTTGGAATAGTAACTGGGTATCTTTGATTGACGGCATGCTCCAGATGAATGTTTTGCGACAGAAACACGACGCTGTCTCCAAACCTTTGGGAATAAGAAAGATGTGTATAGATATTGAACAGCATAATCTAGCAGAAACGGATAATTTAAATAGAAAAATCTTCCTTACAGCTAACGTTGATGAAATATTAGATAAGACAAGGTACTTTTAAAGACTGTTTGTTATAAAAATGAATTTAAAAATGTCAAATAAAATTTAAGAAACGTACTGGCTATGAATATAAGTACTAATTATTTCATAAAAAACTTCAGATGTGGAGGAATAACAATGGAAAACATAAAATTTTGTAATCTTTCACATTCCAATTCAGAAGAAGTTATTTTAAGAACTCCGCATTTCAACAATTCATCGGGTAGTGATGTAAGTTTTATATGAAAAGGAGATAAATAATGAATAATAATTATATTTAGTCAATTTTGCACAATATAGAATATACTGCTCAATATAAATTTTGTTTACTATGTTTTGTGTTAATATGTTATAGTGTTTTAATAAACAAAATTTGAACACATGAAAGCATCAAAAACACCTATTACTCAATCTCAAACAAGTCAATAAAGACCAAACTTCTCAATACTTCCCGAAAAAGCGATTAATATATTTCATATTTAAACTATAGTTTGGTTATCTTCTCACTTTTATATTCAAGTAAAAGTTGATATCTGTGTAGTAATAATTTTATGTAATATTTTTTAGGATGGAAAATATTCTGTACCTTTGGAATATAAACCATTAGCATCGCCTTATGTTAGTTTACGAAGTAAAAGCATTGGTGATTTAAATTCACTTACTTGGGTTGAAACAAAAGAGGCTGCTGCATCTGGGATTCCTGTTATGGTTGGTTCATAGTCTTTTTAGTTCAACAACATCGTCCATACCAATCAGTCGATACCTTTAAAAAACAATCATAATCATGGAACTTTCACAAATAACAAATGCTGAAATGAGATTTATTTCAGATTCATTACGCTGGGCTGAACACTGTTGATTCAATGACTGCCACAGGAAGATATGGTACGAGGATGGAAAGTGATATCGAAAAAATTTCTTACAAAATGGACTTCAGTGGTATCACTGAATGGTACGCCAAATTAAAATAACAAACGGGAAATATACTCAACGGTTATAAAACCCGCCACCTAAAGAAAACGATACTTCAAAATATATGACAGATGATGATAGATATATGTATGAACTGGCTGTGCCCGCAACTTCGTCTGCGTGGGAAGTATTTTGGTAGAATTCTTTTATTCCTATGAATGGAGTCGAATCGAATAAGATCAATGGGCCATAATCCACTGTGCTTAATGCGGATCGGTGGGTGTTCACGTTGCTGATACAGCCAGGACTAACGGCTTAACGTGCACTGTGCCAGTGCTGTGCACAGTGCTCAAGATAATAATGTTTTGGTCACCCATCCTGTCCTTACGAATGTCATTTTTCTATCTTTTTTCTCGTTTCTCGCGCTCTGGTTGTCGTTTGTATCTGAGAATTTTATTCGTACCTTGAAACTGTCCTTCTTTTGTTTTTGATATTTTTAAATTATTATTATTTATCTACTTGTATGCACAATCGGCTATTTATTGTTCTATTCTCCATGTAATGCTAGGTTGCCTGGAAGAAATCGTTTGCTAGCGATGAGTTTGTCGTTTGTACTTAGTTATGTAAAATAAGTATTCAAGTATGTTCTTGTTTATTTCACTGCAATTTAAACCGAATGCGCTAACCCACTACGCCATCGGACCTCTTATACCTAAGATATACTTATATTATAAAGAGGAAAGATTTGGTTGTTTGTTTGTTTGCATCAAATTTGCCCCAAAACTACTGGACAGATAGTTTCAGAGCGATTATACCTACGGAAAGCTACATCACGGATGTCATAGGCTATAATTTTGCGGCAAAGTTGCGGGAAAACAGCTAGTTCATTATACCTTGTGAAAACTTATCTGCGGTACGCCTGTGGAGTATGAAGCCAACACAGGTTGGCGATAATCGAAACTACTTTCTCCATCTCTATTGTGTAAACTGCGAGCTCTTTCAGAAACCAAGCACATTTCTCTATCAAAGGAAGTTTCATACTCATACCAATCTGCATGTATGTTACGATAAGCAATTAGACGCGTTATGCGATCTTCAGAAGTTTCCTGAGATCAGACGCTTGTTGTATGAGTTCTCCGAGAGCTCAAGAGATTGTCCTTGACGGTAAATGCTTCAGATTCAACTTTATAGTGCATGAGCCTCTCGATGGGTAGTTAAATACGCTTCGCGTTATTCAGGTGTTTCCCTAGACTGAACGCTTTCCGTCAAATCTCTTTCTTTGTCAATAAAATTCGGTCGGTACATGTCTGACGGAAGATACGTTGAGTTTTATTTATTAATGATAATATATACATACATATTTTAATTTCGACTTTCCACACTCGAAGGAAATCGTCTACTAACACGTACTTCCGAGAGGTGCTTAACTGAGCTTCTGTCAGATTTGAACGGCTCTCATCATCATCATCAGCCGTTTTACGTCACCAACAGCAGGAGCCTTTTGGATTAAGGAGGATGGGCCACGACCTTCCATGCTGGCCCAATGCGAATTGGAGGATATCAACGACTGCAAATACAACCAGAATCAATCGCTTTACGTGCCTTACAAAGCTTGGAGTTGCTTGAGATAATATTTTTTGGTCACCCATCCTGACTACAACGCGAGACATAGCGTTTATTCACTACGCCACCGAGCTACTCTGAACCGATCATCAGACTCGCGTAATATTATATGTGTTGTGACAAATGAATAAACCATTGTTTCCGGCGAAGACTGAAAATACCAACTTTGAAGTACGTATCTACAGCATATTTGTATGTTAAAAAAAAATAAAAGTAGTATTATTATTGCATTAAAAATTGTAATAATAGAAAAAAAATCAATCGAGTTGTCTTTACCTTCTTAACTTCAGTTGACGTGAATCTTACTTTTTTAACGGCGTGGAAAAGCTTCTGACATTGTCTCTGCTATGGAGCAAGCAACATTCTCCTCCGTGAACCCGATAGTGAACTGCCCTCGGTGGCGTAGTGGATAAGCGCCGCGACCCGCGATCGTTGTCGTTATGCAACTTTCGCAAGGGTCGGTCACGGGATGGGTGACCAAAAAAATATTATCTCGAGCTACTCCGTGCTTCGGAATCGTATACTTCGGAATCGGATCGTATACCACGTGTCCATTATAACCTGAACCCTATTTAATATCATTGGCCATATATAAATGAGGTCAACTTACTTTGGAGTTGTCAAAATTTTGGAATCTTTTTTTTATTTTTCATCATACAAATTATCATTTTATAGACAATATTAATTCGTAGCAGGGTGGAGCTACGAATAAGCGCCACTGCGCACGGTCGATATTGCTAAGCAATTTTTGCAAGACTTATTCACAGGATGGGTGACCAAAAATTATTAAACAAAGGCCTGAGGCCTTGCATTTTGGCTGTCAAAGAGTTAATGGTGATGATCAATATATCAAAGATGAAAATTTAATAAAACAGTAAATATTTCATAGCAATTTTGGCGACCACGTCACTTCAAATTGACATAACTTTTTTATTTTTGAACCGATTGAAATAAATCTTACCCTAAATGTTAACGGAAGAATACCACAATATAATAGTGAAACTGCATTTAAATCGGTTCAGCCGTTTCTGAGATTATCGTGCACAAACGCACAGACAAACAGACAAACTGATAAACAGACAAAAAATTTAAAAATCATTGTTTTGTGTTCTATCACGCTTATAAATGTCCCTCATAACAGTTTTTTCATATATCTTCAATGTACAGACATCGATCGGTTACGTTTTTATTATAGTATAGAAGATAACTAAAAGCATAACATTTACGCTAACTTGACTGACCTCTATGTTTTTATCAAGGGCTTTCACATATTCGGAAATTTCTAAATATAGTCGTCAAAATTTTAACTTGTTTGCTCGCACATCGTATACACTTCCAATTCGTAAATTGCATATTAAGGTATTTGATTTTAATGGATTTACTAATTGTCATGAGACGTAAATGATGATAAAATGGTCTTTTCTTTCATATGCTATTACGTAGCTTGGTTTTAAAAAATGAAGTGACAGTGAGAATGTTTGTTATTTGGCAGTGGTGTTCAAGTGATGGGAGTAGTTCCGTCTGGTGCAGCGAGCAATCGTGTGATGGCGTCACCTGAACTCTTGTGGCCTGTTCCCAAACATTGGACGATGGAAGATGCGGCTACTGTACCTTTGCCATACGCTCTTGCATTTTACTGTCTCGTGAGTATACGTAGAACGCTTGATCATGTCATAAAATAACAATTATGTTTACAATAGTAAAAATATAAAAAAACAAAATAGTAGAAGACCTCAATTCCCGAAATTTCATTTTAATATGTAAGCTGTACATTCTGCATTAAATATAAATAATGGAAAATGTACAGCTCTTACATGTCAAAACACGATCACACAAAGACGAAACACAGTAACATTTTATAATACTATCTTGGTATTTCGACCTGAGACGGTACCATCAAATTAAAACATTATATCGACGCTGGAAAGGCAAAATGTATTAAGCGCCACTTTGGTCGAATATGAGTTATATATATCGTTGGAATCGCCTGATTTTTCTCTTTCGAATAGTCTAGGTAGCGAATTAATCTGAGCACTTTCATGGTGGTTAATACACCGGTGATTTTCGACTTTTTCGTATATTTTTTTGTATTAAATCCATTCATTTTTTGACATTGGTTCATAAAGCGTACAGGATAGTGACAAAGTATTGATAAGTCATTTATACCTGTTTAAGCTTACAACTAAATTTTTTTTAAAACTCTTTACCTTTCCATTTTTCAAAAAAATAACGCATTAAAACATTTTATAGATTGGCAATTATTTTAAAATGTAAACATAAGTCAATTTCCTTGTAAATAAAATATATGTTTTTGTCGTTTAAAACATTTTACTTTTCTGCATGTTACAATTATTTGGACGTTAAAACAATTTTATTGAAAACATTTAATACTAAAATGGTCGATTATACAATTTTACCTGAAGCTATTCTAATGTGTTTATAGGACTTAAATTAATTTACTTAATGCAAAATTTATTGCATTTGTGAGTTAAACCTACCAAAAAAGAATGATAAATACGAAACTATGGTGGTTAGACGGTAGTTCAAGACTGTCATTCTAAGAGACCGCGGCTGTTAGTTAGGGCCGAGAGCGTTGCGCGGGCGCATCAGTCACCCGTGCGATGTCGTCGAGGGAGGTCACACTTGCTGTCGCAATACGCTGTTCGTAAATAATTTTACCAAAAAGTGTTAGACATTAAAAACCTAACAACGTATATTATACCCTTAGTAATGCGCAATATAAGTTATCAAAGACAGACATGAGGGGTAAACACATACCACCTAATCAAATCAGTACACAAGTCAAAGACAGTGTTATAAATTACATAAAAAAATTACCAGCGGTTCCTTCCCACTACTGCCGCAAAGATTCGACGCGTCTCTATTTACCACAAGAGTTTAAAAAATTGAGTAATCTTTACCAATCATACAAAACAGATTTTTAGAAATATTTTTACTCAGAGTTTTAACATATTATTTCTCGTCCCAAAAAAAGATAAATGTCTTAAATGCATATCTTTTAAAAACAATCCTGATGGATTCACTGTAGAAGAAAAACTACCTCCGAAAAAGAAGTTGAAGATTCTAAAAACCGTTTCAAGTACCATCAAGATTTAACAAACGGAATCCTCAAACATTATGCGTATCTTTCGATTTGCAGAAAGTGTTAAACACGTCATACGGTGAGAGTATGTTATTTTATTATTCTCGAAAATATTCGGTATACAATTTGGTAGTATACGAAAGTCAAACTAGGGAAGTTTATTGTTACTCATGGGGAGAGGCTGATGCTAAAAGGGGAGGTAATGAGATTGTGACGATTTTAAATAATTATATAAAAATCATGGACCAGTTTCAAACAGTGAGGCATTTACTTTTTTATAGTGATTCTTGCTGTGGCCAGAATCGGAATAAAATAGTTTTTGCAGCTGTTCACACGGCGTTACAATCCTGTGAATTTATAGAAACCATACAAATGAATTTTCTGATACCAGGTCACACTTCTATGCCGGTAGATAGTGTTCACGCAGTCATAGAAAGAAGTGTAAAAAATTCTATAATTTATGCTCCATCACAATGGGCAACCGTTTTTCAACTGGCTAGGAAAAATCCAAAACCCAATAACGTTGAAATAATGTCCCATCAAGATTTTAAATCATGGGATTCAATTTCTGAAAAATATTTTAAAAACAATTTAGTAGGTAAAATAAGTAAAAATAGGATTGTCACATTTAAAAAATGACTTATCCAACATTTTTGTTAAATTCAGTGTGGATAATACAGCAGAAACTAAAAAAATTGAAGTGTTGGGTAAAAATAAGCGGCCAGCTTCCTATACCCAAACAAAAACACGCTGATTTTGTAAAACTTTTGCAATCCCGCGTAGATATCATGAGGAGTACCTTAGTTTGCAAACTTGCAATGCCAAAGAAAATTTACCAGATACTGATATAGAAGATGTTGAAAATTGATATTTTTTTATGTTTTGGGTATATTTCCAAAGTGTGATTATTTTAATTTAAGATTAGTCTTATAGAAGATGTTAAAAATTGATTTTTTATGTTACTTAATGTCTTGGATCTTTTTCAAAAGTGAGATTATATTTTATATTTATAAGATTAATACTGATACAGATGTTGAAATTTTATGTTATCTAATGTCTTGGTTTTTTCAAAGTGTGATTATCTTTTATTATGTATTTGATTAGTATAAGTCTAAGTACAAGTACCTATTAACTTTTTTTTTTTTTATAAAATGGAGGGCAAATGACTGCGCTCCACCTGATGGTAAGCGGAGGCGCAGTCCAAACGCGAGGACAGCTAGTGAAAACAGTACGTAGGTACTGCACTAGCCAACCTCACCTTGCCGACCTGCAAGGTGCTTTTTCACGCCCCGCTTGAAGGACCCCATGTCATAGGAAGGAGGGAATACATGGGCCGGGAGACAATTCCATTTTTTAGAGGTTCGACAAAGAAATGAGTCGCCAAATTTCTTTGTACGCGAAGGAATCGTTGCCACAGTTAGTTGGTGGCAACGCAAACCAGCACGTGTGGTCCTGAGGAGGAAGGGAGATGGGGGGATAAGAGAAAAGAGTTCTTCAGAGCATTCACCATGGTAGAGACGGTAGAAGACGCTGAGCGAAGCAACGTCTCGGCGCAGTTGCAGGCTTTCTAGGTTCTTGGTGACTTCGCCATTGCCAATAATGCGTACTGCGCGGCGCTGCAATCTATCCAAAGCATCGAGTAAGTACCTAGCGGAGCCATCCCAAAGGTGCGAGCAATACTCCACGCATGACCGGACCTGCGTTTTGTATAGCAGGCACAGTTGTTCGGGGGTGAAAAAACGCCGCACCTTGTTCAGGACACCGAGTTTACGTGATGCTGTTTTAATAACAGACTCGATGTGGTTTTTTGGATTCAGATCACAGCGCACTTCCATCCCGAGCATGTTGATGCTACTCTGTAGAGGCAAGGTTGTGCCCTGAAGAGAGGGAAGGGAAGGGAATGGAGGGGTCTTGGCGGTAAATACGCAAACCTGAGTTTTCTTGGCATTGAACTCAACCAGATTTTCAGCACCCCATTTCGATATGAGATCCAGTACGTGATTGAGCTCAATGACAAGATTCTCTCTTTTTTCCAGGATTTCCGCCCGTCTGACAGTAGGAGCCCCGTGATACCCCACATGCACTGTGCTATCGTCTGCATAGCAATGGATATTTCCAAGTGGAAGCATGTCATTGATATGCAGCAAAAAAGGGTAGGGGATAGAACGGAGCCCTGAGGCACACCGGAATTGACTGTCATAAGCTGTGAAGAGCATCCGTCAGAAAGAACACGGATTTTACGCTCACGCAGGAAGTCGGCTATCCAGGCGCAGAGTTGAACGGGCAGACCGTAGGCCGGAAGCTTGGAGAGAAGTCCCTTGTGCCAAACCCTGTCAAATGCCTTAGCAATGTCAAGACTGACAGCCAAGGACTCGCCTTTGTCGACAAGCCTTTGTCTATAGCTTCACCCCAGAGGTGCATGACGTGCACTAGAAGATCGTTATCTAGGTATACTTAAAAGTATTGCCTTTCCATTTTTTTAAGACTGATTGATCTCAGATGTGTGTGGTTTTATATTTTGTTAATGCATAAATTGTATTCTTGATTTCGTGATTAAAAGTCCATATAAAAAAATATTTTTGTGTTATTTAGTTTTACCCGTAACTTCCATTAGTCATTAATATTGTAAGATAATACTTAAAACCTAGCGGTAACTTTAGCTTAATGTAAGATAAGACACTTTAGTTTTCATGGTCTGACTTGACTGGGCCTGATAAAACATTTAACTTAAACGTGTAAGTATGCTGTACAGAATATAACACATTTTTCTAGCTCATTTCATGCAGCTTTTCGTTCGTTAAAACATGTTTTACCTGAGCACGGTGAGTACGGTCAACTGACTTAAGTCAATTTTACCTAACCAAGATTATGTACTGCATTGTATTAACTCCAAAATCTTGGACACGAAGACACCTAGATTTTTTTCTATAATTACATTTCATAGTAAGCGTTATTCGTAATAACTATTTTGATTTTCAACGAAAACGCTCAAGCAATTAATTAGTTATGATTTTTTTTGCAAAATTTGAAACTTCAAATCACTCTACTCAACAATTCATATAATGGCGGTTAATACATTTTGCCTTTCCAGCGTCGATATTATGATCTTTTATGAAGAGAAAAGAAGACTGCAACTTTCATGCCGATTGTACTAATTAACTACAATAAAAAAGTACCCAATCATATAAAACCATTATTATTTTAATGAAAATTTAAACAATTTTTATAATATAAATTCTTCTACTGCAATTTGACCTCAGAATCACCAAAGTCCCATCCACCATGCGCCTTATAATAATAATAACTAACTTTAACGTTTGGTTACAGTAACGTGTTTTATACGTTTTAATTTCTTTCACTGTATAGGCAATTAAAGTGCAAATGCTCAGCAACCAAAGTATCCTTGTCCACGGAGGTGCCGGTGCCCTCGGTCAGGCAGTTATATCCATAGCTTTGGCTCACGGTCTGCAAGTGTTCGCTACGGTTAGCGACGTCCGCAAGAAACGCTTTTTAATGAAAATATTTCCAGAGTTGAAAGGTAAGTAAAAAAAGTAATTATCATTTTGATTCCGTTTATTTAAACAAAATGACACAAGTTTATCATTATAGCACAATCACATCAAAAACAGCTGGGATTTGTCGTTCATTTATTGTGCAACTAGACATTGATTGTTATGCAGAAGTTTAAAATGATTACTGTTAACTAATATATCTCTAGTTCCATCCATGAAGGGAATTTATGCGTTGATAAAAATCTCAACTTCCACCAACTATACTCTAAGTGTTAATGTCCTAAAGGAAATCTGAAATAGCCAGTTTCTACTGCACTATCCAGTTTCTGATAATGTAGTATAAAAAGTATTTAGTGATGGATAGTTGCAGATCTTACTTTACTCCCGCTTATGTGTATGGTGAACAAGTATGATGGGTCTGACGGGTCTGTAGGGACCTATAGGAAAAATAAACTTTCCTACGATATCTCAAATCTGGGTTTGTTACTTCAAATTTCTATAACAGTGTTTTGATTACATAATTTATGACTAAACAATTTCATCAAAAAATGTTCATATTTAATGTTTTTATTACAGAGGATTACATTGGAAACTCTAGGGACGCTACTTTTAAGGACATGGTCAAAATCCACACAAAAGGGTTAGGAGTTACTTATGTCATCAATTGTGTCAAGGCAGATCTCAGAGTTGTGAGTAATCTATTGTATTGTATCACCAATAAATCACTAAGCTACATTACCTATTTTGCTTTCATATATCATCATTATCAGCCTTTCCATGGCTTCCTTATGAATAATTAAGGAGGACAGGCTGTGACCCTAAACGCTGTCCCAATCCGGATTGGAGGGTATTAACGACTGCAAATGCAGCCGGGACCAGCAGCTTAACGTGCCTTTTAAAAGATGCAGTAGCTCAAGATAACAATTTTCGGTCACCCATCCCGTGACTGACCCTCGCGAAAGTTTATCGCGAGTAAATGCTTAACAACATTTATCCGCTACGTCTCCGAGCTACCGAGCTTTCATATAATGCCAATTAATCTGAAAACAAGACAAATACAGTAATATTCTTTATATGAAATTAAAAATTTACCTTAGTAATGTGTTTATGATATATATAATTTGCCACAGGCTTCCATGAGTTGCGTGTCTCCCTGTGGTGCTTTTATTGACATCATCCAAACTCATAGTGATGAGGAATACTCATTACCAATGGGGAACTTGGTGACGGGGAGATGTAATATTTATGTTGACTTCTCAACGATATTCAATGAGGAAACTGATATGTTGGTTAGTATATTAGCACTTTTTATCATCATCACCAGCCTTTTAACAGCACTGGTGGGATACTGGCCTTCTCTATGGATAGAGTTACGTAGCAAGATCGGGCCAAAATACACCAGAGAACTGTCACGCCTCGCGTAGTTTTTTGCAACCCCTCCGACGATCGATCTTTCCGAAATTTATTTAAAGTCCGCAACAGGACAGAAGGACAAGAATATTACAATTCATTGGATGTTTCATTATATTTTTCAAAATTAATTGGATCAGAAAGTCACTTAAATGTCTTGGATTCACATATTATTCGGAATACTGAAATTTTTTGTCCTCAACCCTAATATGAAAGTAATTAATTAATAAACTTTAAATGTCATCTGTTGTATTAATTAAAGCTAACAATGAGTAAGCAATCGACTAAGTTTAGTCTCAGCTGCCTATATGTACTATTGATCAGTGGAGACAACAGGCGCACCCTATTTTTGACGACTTTTATAAGTTTCTTTTGTAATAAGTTCAGACCACAATTCGGGAAAGTTTATGGGCCAGCCTTCACTTCATACCAGGGCTAAAAATTCAATTCGCAATTCAAAACCTAATATTTATTTAGAATATTTTTATACATAGTAACTTAATTTCCAAGCCTTCGATAATTTTGAATAAGTCAAAGTCAATTTTAAAATATGTAGTGAAGAAAATGAGTAGAGAAGACATCATCTATCAGTCAGTTTTGCTGAATTATTATAAGTCAAAGCATTCTTATCTGCTTTATAATCAGACTAGCATTTGCTTGCGACTTCGTCGTGGTAAAGTTACTTTGGGCAGCATATATTTTTCAAAAACGCTGTTG